GTAAAGCAGCCAGCCACAGAGACATGTGGAAAGAAGTGACAGACAGAGGAAATAGCAAGTACAAAAGCCTCAAGGAAAGTGTGGGGCACGTTGGCAACATCACATGAAAGCTGGCAACACCAAATGAAAGTTCCAGTGTACCTGGAACAAAGTGAGCAAGAGGGAAAGTACCAGGAGAAACCAGAGAGGTGACAGACTGGGGGCAGCAAATCCTGGAGGGCTTTACAGGCCACTGTGAGAACTCTGTTCTTCACTCAGTGAAATGAAAAGCAATTAGAAAACTCCTATCTGGAGAGTAACATAATATTAGTGATCCCTCTCTGTGGGCTCAGAAAGGCCTGAAATAATAAGACTTAATGCTCAGATTCTTATGTTTCAAAGAAAGGGAGAAAACTTCACAAGCTACCATTAAACCCAATGAGAGAATTCAAGACATGTACGAACCAGAATACAGCACTGATCATATTATATTTGAGTAAACAAATGGGAGGCACTGTGCTTCTGTGCCTATGTCTGTGTAGGTCTTAGGGTTGTTCCCATTTCCCCCTCAGTTGCTGTATCTACTGCAAGGCTGCAGAATGAACAAATGCTTGGCCAAACCTGTATGGAAGCCTAGAGTAAGTGACAGCTTCCAAGTGCTAGTTACCTGCCACTCAGCTAATAGTCACCTGTCAACAGCAGCAGTATTAATCATTTCAATGAAACATTTACAGAGGCTATTGAACTTAACCGCTGGAACAATCTTCAAGTGGTTAAAAGAAATAGCAGTCTTTTAAATCCAAATCCATATTATGAGTCCCATTTTACAGATAAAGGAATAGGAACAAAGGGAGTTAAAGGTTAAGGGATTAGCCAGGGCATCTGGTTTAGCTCCAGCAAGAATCGTGGGTCCAAGACAAGCATTTGCATCTTCTTGATTCCCATGAAATGCAACCTCATTTCTGCTTTATGGAAATGACCATAATCCTTTTTCGAGGAAGGATCAAGATCCTAAATCTACAAATGGGGTTATGGGAAATGTTAGAGAATGTTACTGACAGATTGACAGTGAGAAAGAAAAAATACAGTCACCCAGGAACCCACCCTGAGTAATCTAGCTCCTTTCATGGAGATCTTTCAAATGAGGGAAGTAATCCATCTGACTGGCATATTTTTGAAAAGCAGTGTGCTTTCACCCCAAAAAGGAAACAGAAAGAAAATTACATTCCTTGCCATGAGTATGCAACAGACTGAGAGGCTGACAAAGAAAGAGATGGCTTTATTTCAACACCCAATCTACCAAAAGGACCAAAACTTACTATCCTACATGTCCTATCAGAATACTTTTAAATTACACCTGGATATCTAATTAATAGGAAAAACAGGTATTCGTGTATGTGAAAAAAATTACGGTTCTTCATGTACAAAAGCTGAAACTCCATGGAAACATGCTTCATTTCAATAAGGAAAGATTAAAAAACATCCCAGATCTCTAATATCCATGAAGACTTAACTTGAATAACACATCAACATTCTGTATGTGGATATGTCTGATGCTAATGAACAGAATTCACTGAAAAAGACAACACAATCTTCACAGTCCATAAAAGTTTTTAAAAAGGTCTGAGTGGATTATACAAACCTTCACACATCCCCCTACTGCTAAAGCTCTGGGCTGACAACTGCTAGTTCCTTCCTGCACTCAATTGTTGGCTCCTAAAATTTCAACTTAAGCTCAAGTCTAACAGAAACAACAACTCCTCTTATTTATTTGTACATACAAGATCACTGTGTTTTTATATAGCTATGCATGTTAGAATAAAAGTGAACACACAAATCCTCCTGTTCTATTTACAGTCTTAATCACAAAAATAGAAGCATCAGGGAACAAGGCCAATAGAGTTCTTACTTCAACACATGCAAAGGAAAAATTGATTTACCTTCGTCACAGGCAGCACAAAACTAGAAACTTAAGGCATTCTGCTACCTTGAAAGTAAATTTCAAAATATAGTGTCAACAAATGAAAACTAGAGACTGAAAGTGAGAAAAACCAATGTATCACTAGGCAGAGAACAGTGAAAGTGTCTGGTTATAGAGAGACCTAATAATTCAAAGACTGAAGCTGAGATCTGGATCCGTGGTCTACCCAACATCCAGCCTCTCAGCAAGTGCTATTCTCAAAGCCTAAATCAAACATTGTTTTCAAAGGGGAAGTCAAAGTGTTTAGTAACAAAGTCCTAAAACACTTTCAACTGTGCAAGCATCACAGCCTGATACCTTGGCTATTGTCATCTTGCTTTGCTGGGCTCAAAAAGCACAGTTGTAAAGAAGGCCAGCCTGATGGCAGTGGAGAGGAGGAAGAGAAATATAATGCAGGTAAAAGTAACAATTTAAGGAGATGATCATGCAAATTCCCAATAGAAAAACCATCAGTAACTAGCTTTAGCAATCTGGGTTGGAGAAACACTCAGAGATGAAACAAACATCAGGTCTTCAAGCAAACTCAGCTCCTCACCACGGCCAACATGAGGTGACTCCACCTGCCATCCCAAGCTCATGTCATGCCATTCTTCCCTTACTGCCCTGGCCTCTATCTACCAATTATGTCCACTCCCAATACTGAGAGAGCATCTAAGAGATACTATTTATTCACGCTTCTTGGAATTGGGACGCAGCAGGAAACCAGAATGGTAAGACTGGCACTTTCATTCCAACTGGGAAGACAGATAATACACAAATCAGTAAGAACATCAGATTGTGAAAGAGGCACCAAGAAATAAAACAGGAATATGTGACCGAAAACTGGTGAGGAAAGAAAATAGGTAAGTTAGGAGGCCTACCCAGGTAGGTGAGTGACCTGGGCTTGTGTACCTAAGGGTGAATGTAGAAGTCCACAGACTACTAATCACAACCGCAATAAGAAGTTGTATCATCAACCACAAACATCAGTGATGCCTGCCTGAAACCTCTTCAAAATGAACCTCAACAAATTATGTTCCAGAAGCGTTTACTTCCTTTTCCAAAAGAATTCTGCAGTTTGTATCAACAGCTGCTGAGTACAATTGGAAGCCTTGTCACCCCTGTGGCTTCCCACACAATGATGAGAACACCCTGTGGCTTCTGGCTACTGCCTCTGCCCATCTTTGTGGTCTCGAATCATTTAGGAAGCAGCTCCTCCTGAAAACACACCCCTGATGGATCTCACTGCTCAGTCTTGCACACAGAGAGCACCTTTCAGACATTTCCATAGAGGGAGGCAACCAAATCAGCGTCCTATTAATGTTAACAGCATTTGGTTGAGCTATGTAAAAACTAATCATTACACAAGAGCAGGGGAAACAACAAAAGAAAAATATACATCTTTAAAAAGATCTCTTAGGTTTGGAAAACTTTAGGGCAGGGAAAAAAAACAAGACTTAGGAAATCCTGCTGCTCATGAGAGGTCAAGACTCAAAGATACCAAACTGAAATCCCCTATTAGCAGATATTCAGGCTGTACCCAAGATTTTATTATTTCCACCAAAATTGCAGTGTACTTCTATGCATATAAATACTTGTGCATATCTCTCTGGAAAATAAATTCACAGAAATGAAATTACTGGGTGAGAGGTTATAAATATTATTAATACAAAGTACCAAACAGTCACCCAGAAAATCAGTACTAATTTATATTCTCACCTAGAATTTTTAATGTGTTTGTTTCTCTGCATCTTTTATTTTTCTTGCACCAAAACAAGGCAAAATTATTTTCAAAGGTTTTATGAAGCACACACAACATTGTGCCTATTTGATTTTCAGTTGCATTTATCTTGTTAGCAATGACTTTGAATTTTCTCCAAAAAAAAAAAATATATATATATATACATATATATATATAGATATTGATATTGATATTGTTTGTTGGTACCAGGGATCCAACTTGGGTCCTAGCACTTGTGAGGCAGGCAGCAGAACCACTGAGCTAAATCCCTGGCCCTTCCAAATAGATACTGATCCAATGACTTTTTAAGGGTCCAGAAACAACAATTAATCTCTTTACAAAAACAGCTAAAGTAACAAGTAAATAATATAACGTACCAGGCAAGGATGTACCTCATTTCTATATTTTCAAAATCAGAGCTCTCCAACTACTAAAGTATTTCTGTAACTATAATCCACATATATTTCATACATTTAATAAAGAAGAAAAAAACTACTGAGATGTCGGTATGAGACCTCTCTCTATGACGCTGGGCAAAGGTGAAGTTCTCTGCCTCAAAACTACATCAGGATCTATTTAGACACCGATCAAGGGGGCCAAAAGAAATGTACAGCATCTCTCCATGCACCGGTTTGTGAGCGCCCGGACAATAAGGACCATGTCCACCCTGCCCATCGAGCTGCGTCCACACAGACAGAACCGGGGCTGGAGAAGCATTTGCTAGGTGCATTTCCAGGCCGACAGCCAAGGGACTTAAGGGCCATGAGCGTGAGTGCTTCAGCTCAGTGATTTACTGTATCCCACCATGCTGTGGGGAGCACCGTTCACGGGAGGCCCTACTGAAAAGCTTGTAACTGCCACAGAGAACACAAGAGGGTCTTTACATCTCCTCCTTGGTCTGTTTCCCAGAGACACAGGATGCTAAGGATAAGGGGAGGAAAGGAGGTGAAGAGAGTCCTGGAAACTACGAAGTGCTATACAAAGCTGGACAATGAGGAGCAGTTTAAACGGAAGCCTTGAAGAGGCGGGATGGGTGACCAGAGGATGGGAGACTGCGGCAAGGCAGCGAGAGTCTCCGTCTCCCTGGAGCCAGGACGGGCAACACAACAGACACAGGAATTTAATCTGGGGCCTGGAAACTGTGCAGCCAGCCTGGGTCCGGCAGAAACCTGTTCTCGGGGAAAAGTCAGGGAGAACAATCATGTTATGCATGTGTGGGGGCCAACACTGGGGTCTTCGGTGAAGGGAAACCCCTGAAAGGGGCTGAGGATGGCAGATGTGCCAAGGCAGATTAGCTCCCAAAAGGGCAGATGAGCTTACCAGGAGGAAGCCCCAATCCCGAGAGGCAGAAAGTGGAGGGAGAAGCGGGACTGGTGTCTTACACAAAGGCCGGAACAGAGCGGCCTCAGTAGACAGGTTCTCCAGTAGCACAGGAGGGCCCACTGTGCCCTTCCCTGTGATGCTGGCCACCTTGTAGCTCTGTCACTCAGAAACAAGGCCACCAGGCCTACCATCCATATATGTCATCCAGCCCCAACAGGGAGATGTCAGTGATCACTATGAGAAAGTGTGCTGAGGGCACTGCGGCTCTTCGTTATTGTTCCACACTTGCCACACTCCGGTAAGACCAGCACTACCACAGCGCCCTGGGAAACTAGAACCCGTTGCCATGGCAGCCGCTTTTCCTCCTCTTAGGAAGGGCACACTCCAAACCATTACGAAAATAAAAGGCTTTTATGTTGAGTGACCAACTCCCCCACCAGTGTCTTTCACTGCCTTCGCCAGTAAATTCTGGGTAGAATATGCAGCAGAAACTGAAACGTGGGCATTTCTTTTAAGCAATTACAAAAAAATTAATAATTTAGTTTGCAGACAGAGAGGGGTAGAAAACAACTGTTCACAGTAGCAGTGTGTGTGTTTAGGTCAGGAAAAAAAATTTTTAAAGGAACCAAAAGCCATTGTCTGAGGAACATTCAGATCTGAGAAACATCAAAGTACTGTGTAGTCAGCTGCTGAGAAGAGAAGGAAAAGTCAGGAATGATGACAACTGATCAGGAAGAGTCCCTCAGAGGGGCCAGGAAACCAACCCACTCTTGCTAATGGGAATCAAAAAAGGGGCTTCTTTGAAGGCCCAGAAAAGATACATTTAGGGACCCCTTCCCTGAGAGAATCGGAAGGGTAGTGTATTAAATCACAAGTCTAAGACAACTATTGGTACATACTTAGTAGCACACATGAACATGAAGCAAAAATAATGGGAAAGAAATGAAAAATGATACAGTGAGACAGAGCATTTTTCTGTATCGTCCTTATCTCAAAAAATTCACAGTCTTCCTGCCAGTGCTCATTCTCAATTCCCTCGTCTCTCTGTTCTGAGAATGCATGAGTGAGGTATCCGGGCAAATGGTTGAGTCCCAGGGATGTTTCCAAAGGGAGGGTGGCTTCAGATCTCTGTTTAAGTCCAGAAAATGGAGACACATGTATCCATTCACACAGTGGAAGGAGAAGCAAAAGAATGGCTCAGGGAAATCAAGACTGTGCCAAAGTTGTAGACATTTCATTTCCTGCCCACAAAGCCAGCAGAATCCGTAAGGGGACTGCCAAAGGGAACTATTCTGGTACTGTGACCCACACCTAAAACTAGAAAAAAGAAGCCTCACTCCTGAAACTCAGGCCACTGAGGTGATTAAGTCTAAAGGTAGAGGTGAAAATAAGTGCAGAAAATGATGTCCAGCTGTAATGCCACACCTGACAGACATCAGTCTCACACTGATTTACAGCTGAGGTGACACAGAAGAAAGTCTAGTGTGACCAGGAATTGTGGGGGTGAGGACAAGGCTAGTGACAGGAAGTTCACTCACTACCTTCCCGCACTTTGTGGGCCCAGGATGTTTGGCTATTAAAAGTTGTTTATTATGGACTTTCCCATGGTGTATGAGAAAGGTTCTGTATGATATATATTTGGGTTGACTGATCTTCACTTCTCTTTTTGGAAGGGGCTGTAGCTACCGCATCCTTCTCCATTTTAGAATATTCTCGGCCATTATTCTTCAAATATTACTGCTATCATTTGAATATAATCTGTGCCCGCAAGGGTCCATCATGGTCCTCAGGATAGGGTTATTGTAAAGTGCTGCTGAATCTTTAAGAGGTGGGTCTAGTGGGAGGTCCAAAGTTCACTGGGGATGTGCTCTCAAAAGGGACTATGGAGACTGCGATGTCTCTCTCTCCCTTTCTGTTTGCGATGTGATGGCTTACACCTATAAACACTCCTGCCATGATGTGCCACCCCATTACCAGGGCTCGAGCCAACGGGGCTGTCTGATCTTGCACCATGAACCTCCAAAACTGTCAACTAAATAAGTTTTCTATTCTTTATAAGTAGCCTATATCTGGTATTTTATTATAGCGTGTGTTACAGTTTACACTGACAAGGCTCTCTCAAAGCCTCACGTTCTGAGGTGAGGTATTCTAGAAAAAGGTGGGTCACTGGGGGTGTGACCTGGGAATGTGTATTCTTTTCCCTGGCTCCTCCTTTCTCTCTCTCTCTCTTTCTCTCTGCCTCCCTTCTTTTCTCCCTCCCTTCGTTACATTTTGAATTGTTTTAAACATAATTATTTTATGGTCTGTATGGGATTTTTAATTATTGTTTGATTATCTGAAGTTTCTGGGTCTTGACATTCCTGCATATTATTTTCACAGACTGTAGCTGATGGTGGCCTATTTCTTTGTATGTTCAAAAGGCTGCATTTATCTGCAGGGGACTTTAGTTATGAAATTCCAAGTTCTCATAAACTGAATGCATATTCTTCAGCTAGTCTTTGAAGGGTACTGCTGAATGATACTACTTGTAGAATAAACCTGAATGTCATCATCAATTTCCTGGCGGGTCTCGGGCTGAGGTAGAATTTCCTACCGTAGCCCTGTGCTGAAAAGTTGCGTTTTAACTTAGCACCTCTTTTCAATGATGGCAGCGTCAGTCAAAGGTACCTGACTGCTTCCAGCTTCAAGCTGTCCCTGGGTTTCATCCCCATTCCTACACGGTTTGAGAGCCTGTGTTAACCAATGCTGGCAATTTTAGGTTTCTCTACCCTTGCTCCCAGTCTGCCCAGGGCAACTACACTGTCACTCAGGTCCTTATTTTCTAAGGATATGCTTTTCTCAGGCCATGTAAGTTTTGCTTGACTTATACTATTTATTACTGATAAGGACGCAGACTCCATAAGGATAGATTTCAACTTATATTAAAATTGCTAAGTTTGTAAATCATTTTTGTCTGGTAGAGATGCAAAGAATTTTTGTTGAACAGGAAAAAAATAATATCAATAGTTAAGGTTTTATTGCCCTGTATAACAGCACCCCAGTTTTGAATCTAACTTAGAAATCTTATTTCAGTATTTTTCCTTTCATTGACTATATATAAACTAGTTTCTGCTATCCTCTTTTGAGCCAGCTTTATATTTCTACTGGAAGCCTCATATATCTTTAAGATTTTCTATTAATTTGTTTATTTTTTATTCATCAAGTTTATTGGTACATTTTAGATATTCATTATGATCACAATCATAATGGGAATTCTTGCCTGTACATACTTATCTTGGTTCTTGTTTTTTCCCCTTTCCCCCCACCTTCATCCCTCCCTAAAAATCTGTTTCCATTTTTTACTTTTCTTATATTTTTTTCTTTCCCTTCTTTCTTTTACCCTAAACCCCGACTTCCCTCTTGCACCTTTTCTTCCTATTTCACATTATTTTTTATACATTTTGGTCCTCATTTACACTTTCAGTTTCTCTCACCAGAGAAACAATTAGGCATTTACAATGTGTGTCCTACTTATTTCACTTAAAGAATATGGTCTCAATGTGCATCCACTTAGCTATAAATCTCTAATTTCTCGTTCTTTATGGCTTAGTACTCCGTGTGCACACATGCATGTGCACATGTGTGTGTGTGTGTGTGTGTGTATCTCCCACATCTTTATCCAGCCACCAGTTGATGGGCATTCGGTCTCCCAGATTTAGCTATTACAAACTGTGCCACTATAAACACGGATATATTGTTGTGATATGATGCTTTTAATTCTTTGGGGAAGATACCCAGTAGGGAAACAGCTGAGTCAAATGGGACTTCTAATCCCAGCTCTTTGAGGTATCTCCATACTGATTTCCACAGTGGTTGCACCACTCTACACTCTCACCAGCACTGGAGAAGGGTTCCTTTCTCTCCACAGCCCCGCCAGCATTTGTTATTGGTTGATTTCTGGGTAGCAGCCATTCTTTCTGAAGTGAGGTGGAATCTCGGTTGTTTTCATTTGCATCTCTGGAATGAACAGTGATGTTGAACATTGTTTCAAGTGTTCATTTGCCGTTTTTACTTTTTCATCTGAAATATATCTGTTCATTTCAGATGTCCATTTTTGGATTGGTTCTTTAAATTTGGGGGAGCCTGATTTCTTTTTTAAGTTCTCTATATATTCTAGATAGTAGACCTTTGTCTGCGGAGCAGCTAGTAAATTTTTTTCCCAGACTGTGAGTTGTCTCTTCACCCTGTTGGTGGTTTCTCTTCCTGTGCAGAAGCTTTTTAATTTGAGATCCCAGTTGTTGATTCTTTGTGCTAGTTTGTGCGCAACAGAGGTTTTGTTCATAAAGTTTCTTCCTATATCAGTGTCTTCAAGAGGTCTACCTAGCCTGTCTTCTAGAAGGTTTAGTGTTTGTTTTACTATTTAGATCTTTGATCCATTTCAATTTTAGTTTAGTACATGGTGAGAGATATAGGTCTAGTTTTTTGTTTGTTTGTTTTTGTTTTTGTTTTGATAGCGGGGATTGAACTTGGGTTCTTGTGATTACAAGTCAGGTGGCAGAACCACTGAGCTAAATCCCTAGCCCATACAGGTCTAGTTTTAATCTTGGCAAACTGAAACCCAGTTTTTCCAGCACCATTTATTAAAGGGGGAAGCCTCATACATCTTTAACATGTGCTCATTCTACATTTTTTACAAAGAGATTTTAGAAATGTTTTAAAAGTTATATTTTAACATTAACCCTATTTATTTTGTGTTTATCAAATTTAAGGCAATGTATTAACTTCCTTCTATATGATTCAAATGCAATCCTCTGCTCTTTTCAGATTTAATAGGCTGTCATGTCTTCCCACTGGTGCTAAAACTATAAGAGATTGCTCTCTCCCTTCTCTAGATAAAATGATACACCAGCAATGTAGATTAAAATTACAATAAGCTTTTGAGAGCAGACAATTTACAGTCAACAGAACCTCCTGTTGAGTATTCTTGCTAACTGGTTTTAATTAAATTTGAACTAATCAAGAACAAAATAATTGCAAAAGATAACAAAATTTAATTTAAAAATTGAAAAATCATATTTTGATAGTTAAAATGACAGGCTTCAGAAATTGTATATTTAGAAGAAATTGACTTTAAAAAAATCACAACAGTCTATCCAGTACATAGACCAAGGAAGAATATATGTTCTAATGCTAAATTATGTCCTA